AGCCTGCTCCCGAGCAGGTTTAAGCTTACGGACCTGTTGCTATGACAGCAAGTCCAGGATGAGCTTCGAAGAACCAACCAATCCAAGATCATGCCAAATCATCAACAATCAAATCCAGCTAACTTAGTTAGTTATGTACAAAGAACCGGTCCCTGGTGAAGCGACTGAGATCCATGTGACACACTGTTATAAAGATGGCATTTATTAAAGAGGAGAGTGAAGACATGAAGATTGAAGAAGCATTCAGAGTCAAACAAGAAGATACTGAGGAACAAACAAAGATGGAGTTTATTAAAGAGGAGAGTGAAGACCTGAAGATTGAAGAAACATTCAGAGTCAAACAAGAAGATAATGAGGAACAAACAGGTTGGTTTTCATTCTCAAAGCTGAACTCAAAATGTCCAGCTCTACAGAAATGAATGATGTTTATGAAGAATGTGAATATGAAGAATAAACAGATTTCTATTGGTATATGTGTCACATAATAATAATGTTTCATTTATATAGCGCCTTTCAAAACCCAATGACGCTTTACATAAAGTTGATTGATCATGTGACTGTATTTGTGTTTGTTATCTATCAAATAAAGCAGACAGAGATCATCTTATGTACCTGATAGTTAATACAAGCAAGCATGGAATTGAAAAATGACAGTCAATTAATAAAACATATTGTAAATAAGTGAGTTCCGTTTTAAAGGTCTGAAGTGAAAAGATAGCACAACGGGTTTGAGGAACTTTGTTCCAGAGCTTAGGAGATGAAATGCTGAAAGCCCTGCCACCCACACTAGAAAGTCTGAACTTGGGTACTGCAAGCAAATTCCCAGAACTCGATCTTAGAATATGCATAGGGACATAAGGGTGAATTAATTTAGAAAGGTACAAAGGTGCAGAACCATGACAAGCTTTGAAAACTAGGATGAGTATCTTAAAATTAATACGATAGATTAGGGCTGGACGATATGGCCAAAATTTATATCACGATATATTTCTTAATTTCGGTTGATATGATATAATTCCGATATAGATATGAACAATATTAAAAAAAAAAGCCTCAGGAAAACTGCCAAGAACGCCCACAACGGATGTCTGTACCTACAAACTTCTGAAAAATGAATTTGCCAACTCTATGAAACCTACTCCTATAAAACTATATAATATTTTAGGAAAAAAATGGCGCAAATAAATAAATGTTCACCTTTTATTGGTATTTAGCCTTCATACAAACAAGAAATGTGAAATCACTGTCAAATAAATCTCAGACTCTCCTTATTAATATT